TATATATATATATTTAATTTGCTAATCATTCTTCCAATAAAAACAAAAAAAAAGTTTACTTTTAAAACGAAAGGATATGAAACAAATCTACAAATAAATTACTAGATCAAATCAAACAATAGTAATTTTAAAATTTGAAGTAAATCAAATTCATCTTTTAACTGAGTCTGTATATTCTAATTTAGTTAAAAAATCTTATGAAATATTAAATTAATTTTAAAATGAAAAATCAGGGACCTCGTTTCTTTACAAATCTGATTTATGCTTCTAAAGTGGTCGGACCGGTCTCACTACCCTAGTGGTTCAAATTCGATTGGTTAGTCTTAGAAATAAATAAATTCTGTAGAACACTTCCAGTGCAAATATTTACAATGGGTTGCAAAACTCTCCAAGGCCCGTCTATGGGTTGCAAAATCCTCCAAGGCCCATTTTGAATCTTCATTAAATTAAATTAATTTTTTGTTGTTGCAGATATCATTCTTTATAAACAAATGTTAGTTTTTATTTTGTCCTCAAATAATATATAAAAATGATAATTTACTACAAGATATCGAAAATTTTTATGTGCTAGCAAGAAATAACATATTAGTATATGTTATGTTATACCGTGATAAACTAAATTTTGATCCAAGAAAACCATCATAATAAATATTGGGTCTATGTTCATATGTCTGTCTCTCTCCGTAACATTCTATACCTCTCTCTCAAGAGCCTTTTAATCCAAAATAATAGTATTTTTAATGGGACAATTTAAGTTATTGAAAGAAGTTATAATTCCCCTATATATGTTTTGTAAGAAGCAAATAGAAAAAGTTCTTCCAATGTGATACTCATCATTGGAGAATCTTATTCCAACACTTGTAGTGGTGGGATCTCTCCTCTATCTCTCATATTCCTTTCATTAAACTGAAATTTTGGTATTATCTAATGAAAACTAGAACAGGTACACAAGAAATTATAATCACGTTGCGTCGGTTTTACAATATCTAAACGACGCTTTAGTTCTGACTTATTCGTAACTTTTTCCAATTTTTTCTAGAAGTCTGGTTCTACATTCTGAAAATAATCTTATGTTATGTGATCTTTATTAAATAAGATAGACATTAATATAATATTTTGTGTTTATTTATAATGGTATATGGTAAATATCTAGATGCCTTGGAGACGACAAATTTGTGGGATTAAACCAAAATATAATTTATGTTTATTGATAATGCAAAAAATCAACTCCTGTATGTAAAAACTATAGAAATGTGATTTTATAAGTGTGTATTTTAAATTTTAATACTACAAAATATATACAACACATTTTTTAAGTTTTAGACCGGCAAATGGACAGAAAGAATGATGATGATGTGGCCAGATGTTATCAGTAATGCCTATAGCTTTTTCCTTCTGATTCAAGGATAAGCAATCCCCTTACCAAAAACATATTATTGAATTATGTTATTTTCTACAATAGTATTGAATTATGTGTACGTATGTTTAGCACATATATAGAGAGAGAAAGATAGAACGAGAATTTAATGTGAAGAATAACATTGTCGAGTCATAAGTTTCTTGTGAGTTAATTGACGGTAGGAGACAAAAATACGATAGACTATTTATTATACCCAACGCATAGCATCCGAAGAGAAATAAACAATCACAATGGTATAATTTGAGTTTGACCAAAAAAAAAAAAAAGGTATAATTTGAGTATAGATGAACATTTTAAACATGTAAGCATAGGTTTGGTTTGTGACGGAGATTTGGTGTATAGTGTTTTATATTAATATCGTCATGTGTCACAATTCAGACTCATACTAAATGAAGCGTGTATAATGTATGCGTATTGTCTTCTTTTAAGTTTGATTTATAAGTCCAAAACCGGGGACGAAAATGTTTAACATGGTTATGCAGTGCAAATGATTTGAGCGTGATGCTTAAGCTAATTATAATCAGTAATTACAATTCAATTACTTTTTTAAAAGATATCAAACAAAATTGTGAACGTTGGTTGGCCAAAAACTGAAATGGGTAAATTTCTATATTTTTTTGTGCAATACTGCATTGCATAGTTACAGTATTAAATGTTTTCATTCTAAAGTGCAAAATAAAATAATAAATACGCCATATTTTAACAGAAGTCGTTATTAATTAACCTTTTCTTTGTGTCATTGGTCCAACCACTTTGTTATTCCAAATAAAGTTGAATTCTCAACCATGTTGTTTTTTAATTTGGAAAAACAAGTTTCAGATGTTAAAGATCACGATCAATCATTAGAACAAGAGTGTGATTTTAAACAACAAACAAACTAATCATCTCATGAGACTTTGAAATAAAAGCTAAACTAAAAGTCTAAAAGTGATCAATCTTCGTTTCAAACCGAGGAACGACCACCAGTCATTCCCGACATAAACAATGACAAAAACAGCTCGCTCACACTATCCATGAGATAAATTAGCATCACATTAAGCATGTTCGCCATCAAATGTTTTACAGGTTTGATGTAGATGTGATCACCACCTAAGAGAAGATGATTGGTTCTTCCAAGTCAAGGACATAAAATATACCTTGTTAGAGCTTTTGCATAAGATGAATATTCATATTCAATGACAACGACTTTGTATGTCAAATTCTTTTGAAGAAATCGGTAAAAAATACCTATAAAAACTTTGATATGGACTGCGCCTTTGTACCCCCAAAGACCCTTAGCCGAGATCGGATTTTAGCAATAATAGTGTGGGCGCGACAATCTCTTGGAATTCCCCCATTTTCAATATCCCACATAACCAAAGTGAGAGTCTTAGTATTACACTCTCATTTTTTGTTAGCAACAACATCTCAATCATATTGTTGTGACGGTAGATTTTGATTAAGCGATTATAGAATCATACACTATTTCATATGTATTTCTAACCACAAAATTTGTGGAAATATAGATGAGATAGTGTCCGACTCCTAAATCACTTAACCAATCTTGGTATCCACGCGCATCTTTTCCATATAGATGATTTTTAAAAAGAAATTAGCTATGAAAATTATCACTTTTTTATCATGTATTGTGGAAACATGATTTTTTAAAAGTGACAAAATTGGAAAACTTGTAATAACTTCTATTTGGTTGTATAGGTTAATTATAGAGTTTTGGTATTTTACCTAGGAGGAACAACAAATGCATATTTACATACAAATTACATTTTTAAAATTCTCGTAAACAACCCAACTCATTTTAGTTTAGTAATTTAAAGATTTATGATAGGGTTTGAACACCATAGTTCGAACAATATTCTCACGCGATAATTTTAATTTTAACTGTTTAGTTAGTCACAATGAACATCTTAACTGTTTAGATAAATTTAATATATTTTTCACGTGTTTTAAAAGTTAAATTTAATATATTTTTCACGTGTTTTAGAAGTTAGTCTAAATTTTGGTATACGATCTACGAATTATAAAAAGATTCTGGTACAGACTATGTTTTTTTCTCCGTAGAATGTCATTTTTACAAGCATGGGTTCTTCTATCAGATTAAATATGATAATAAAACCATAAACAAAATTTGTTGTATGTCTGTTTTTTTCTCTTTGTTGCGTCTTCATTGTCTTATCAAGTGGCCATAACATAGATGAAGAGGGAATAAATATGTCGAACTTCTATCGTCTATCTTAACCACTTTTCTCAAGTCTTAACCACTTCTTCTACTTGAATTGATTGGTGTGATTATAAATTGACCACTAATGGAAGTATACTTGGGGAAAATAAAATGTTTGATTAATGAAATCTAACCTCTTAAATAATCAAATACTCCAAGTAGTCCTTCCGTTTCACACTTTTAAAAGCTTTTAGTGTTCTACGCATATTAATAAGTGTTTTACCATATAATGACTTTAACATATAAGGGAGTTACATTTTTTTTTTTTTTTACGTTAGCTTTTGAAATCAATTTAAAGATTGATTGGTAATTTTTAGAGTTGGAAAAAAAATTGAGATTGTAACTACTTTCTACCACCTAACCAATCATACCAACATATATCATTTAGTACTATTGGGGTCTGATTCCTCCCACCTAAATCAACAATCTCGAAACGGCCAAGTGTGAAGATAAACTGGTGGGCCGATCATTAAATCGACAGTTGGTTTGTTTAAACCGATGAGCCGATATAAACCGTCAATTTGTAAGAGGGGCGGTTTAATGAGCTAGTCGACCTAGCGCTTGATCGGTTAAGGGCTTGTCGCAGGTCCGCAGATAAATGAAAGTTTCTAGAAGGGGCCCACCGCATATAGATGGAAATCCCGAAGGAAAAGAAATTTCCTTTTCCTTTTAGACTTAGCTCTAGCCGCCTTAGACTAATATATATACATATGTACATCCTCCGCATAGGGGATCCGAAATTTATTAGCTAAACACTTGTATTTTGAAACAACTTTTTAAACATCTTAATAAAACTTCTCTTGAGATCTATCGTTTTAATGGTTTTCCGCATAAGTTTTCAAACCCTATAAAAATTACGAAGACAAATTCTAATTGTGAAATTCGACTCCCACAAACGCCAAAATGTGATAATTCCTGAGATCGACCATTATAACTAAATTAAGAGAGTCTATATATTATACTTGGAGAACAAATTAATTTTCAAAAAGGTATAAAAAAGGTTCATGCTTGTGTATGGCCACAACAACAACACATTCTGATAACAACCAAACACTTTCCAAGTCCCATAGGAAAAATAAATTATAATAGTAATGAATAAACTTACAAAGACAATGAATTTAAAAGAGGTTTTCTTTTGTTTTGTAAAATGTGCAGCACTCTTTCTCCCCATAACCAGAGTGCCCTTGTAAGCTTTTAAGATACCATTTGAGCCTCTTTTCAAGCCCCACATTAATGTACAATAATGGTATTTGTTCGAGTACA